AGTAAGTTCTTCCTTCACAGAAAACTACCTTGTGAGGGAAGTTTACCAATTACTTTCCAAGTTTCTTAACAGTACTTGACATTTTACATATTTGTTTACTTTCTTTTTGCATCATTTACAGTATCAACACAGCTCTGAACTGGGAAAAGGATGTGTTTGTTGAGCTGTCGCAGAGACAGAAGAGGAAACAATACATTGTTTTGGCAATGTCTCAAATTTCTCTTTTAGGGAAAAGGCTAAACTATTTTCACTGTTGAAAAATGGAATCCATCAACTTAGAAAACTATATATATTCAGAATTTCTTTACCAGTGTTACTAGAACCAACTTCATACATAAAGAACAATTTATTTAAAAAAAAAAATCTAGCTTACTTTTAGCTGTTTAAATTGCTTACTTTCTGCATTTCACTCAGTTTGGACAATGAAACTAAACTAGTCAGTTTCACTGTCAGGTTCTCATGAACTAGCACAATGCTGCTTGGCCAACATGCCAAAAATGTTATATTTTAAACAAATTAAATAAAAACATCTATTTAGAACAGATTTTTATAAAGTCCTCTAAAAATAATCTATATTGTTGTTTTCAGGTACTTGAAAGATTCTCTAAAACCAGATCCCGTAGCAAACAAACTCTCTTTTAAAGAACTCTTATTCCTTAGCGTTCTCAATCAGGTATTAGTTTTAATCCAATCTAACATAAACCTCTCTTCTTGTCACTAGAAAGGATGCAATGTTACTAATTCTCATAATTCTATCACGAGTCTCACAATATCTGTTGTTTTTCTTAAAGCCTCGGCTCCCGGAATTATGATTAAGGCTACATTTTAATCATGGGTACTTTTAGTAAAAGTCATGGACAGGTCACGGACAGTAAACAAAAATTCACGGGCTGTGACCTGTCCATGACTTGTACTATATACCCCTAACTAAAACTTGGGCTGAGAGGCCGCGGATGCTAGGGGAGTGGGCCAGGGGAACACAGGTGTGGGAGGGGAGGCGCGGGGCCCAGGACCCCTCTGTTGCTGGGGGGGGACAGGCATGCAGCAGCGTGCAGCCCGGGACCCCTGCTAGTGCTGGGGGGAGGAGAGGAAGGGTTGGCAGGGCTGGCGGGCTCCCCAACCGGCTCAGCACGGCTCCCCAGAAGTGGCTGGCACGTCCCTGCAGCTGCTAGGGGGAGGGAAGGCCAGGGGGGCTCCGTGCACTGCCCCCGCCATGAGCGCCGGCTCCCACCACAAGCGCCGGCTCCGCAGTGCCCATTGGCCGGGAACCGCAGCCAATGGGAGCTGCAGGGACCGTGCCTGCAGGCAGGGTCAGTGCGCAGAGCCCCCTGGTCTCTCCACCTAGGAGCTGCAGGGACATGCTGGCCACTTCTGGAGAGCCCCACCCCTCCCTCGAGGTAATCACCGCGCCACATCCCAACCCCCTACCCCAGCCCTGAGCCCCCTTCCCGCACCCAAACTACTGCTGCTGCTGGGGAGGTAAGTGGTGGCCCAAGACTGCCCCAGAAGTGGCCAATGTGGCTGGCCCAACGGCAGCCCCAGAACCAGCCGCACTGGCCACCGCAGAAGTTACAGAAAGTCACGGAATCTGTGACTTCCGTGACAGACACGCAGCCTTAATTATGATTACCAGAAAGTCTTAGCTTTCATTTAAAAAAGAAAAAGGTTTAAGTTTCCAACTCTTGGGATTTCAGCGAAGAGCTAAAAACAAAACAAAGCTTAAAGGCTTAAAACAAAAAGGCAAATAAAAAGACACTGCCCCTTTAAAAAAACCTCATGATTCTTTGTTGTCTCTCTCATGATTTTATGAATGGCTGGTTTAGCAATACTGTTCTTTACCTTAGAGGAAAACATTTCAAAGTTCTAAAACTTCTACCCAAACCCCATGCAAAAAGAATGCAGCCACTATTCATAACTAGGGCTCTGCATACTCCATGCTTCTGTGGAATCTGCTACAGAATAATGGCACAAAAGCCAAGCTCTTAAAAAGAAAGCTGTTAAGTATCTAGCCCTTAAGGCTGCAAAGGGCACCTTCCACAAGTGAATGAAATGTAGACATATAAAATGTCGACTGAAGTCTGCAGTCATCCTAAATATACCCAAGACAGGTGAAATGCTTCAACGCCCCACATAAATGAACAATTTAGAAATCTTAGGCCCTGATCCTGCAAAGACTTATGTCCATACCTAACTTCACACACTTCTATTAACTTCAATAAGACCACTGCCTGGGGGTAAAATTAAGCACGTGTATTAGTATTTGCAGCATCAAGGCCTAATTATGCAAATTTAAGCCCTGATCCTTCATGTTCACATGGAGCTGAGTGCAGGATTGCTTCCTTAAAATTTAAGTATTTTACCAATGATAATTTGAACATCTTGTTAACATGCTTAGCACTACCAGTACTGCCTCTCCACATTATTACCAGGTGCCAAGAGCTCTAATTCTCCCCTGCTCAACTGTCCAAACCATCAACTTCCATCCTGACAACTTCTGTAATACAGTTAAACATTTTAAACACAAAACTGTGAAGCACAATGAAAATTAAAAATTAATGGACAAAGTAAAATTTTAATTTAATATCAAATTAAATATCAGAGGGGATCTATCATGACTGTTTTCCTGATTTTCATACTCCATTAAAAACTTCGGTTTTTTAATTTCTCTCTAATCTGCTATATTTGAGTGCTGTAGAACACAAAGGTCATGCCACAAACTTTAGGTCGAGCTTGCCAAGGAGCACACATACAACAACGAACCTTTATATCTATAATGATGATGATTATGGGCCATAAGTGATTACTCACTGTTCTATTCAGTCCAAAAATAGTTTTATGATTGGAATCCTGGGCCTACTTCTTTTAACAACTGAGGCATTACTAAAATGGGAAACAAAAATTCAGATATGGACTATGATTAGTCTTTCAATGTTAAGATATTGAATAATTAGTCTTTCAAGCTATGTTTCCAGTACAGTGTAAACTTACATTCGTAACACTATTAAAAACATTTTTTAGTATTTAGTATTATTTCAATATGATCTTAGACAAATTAAAAAATTATGGGGTTTGGGGTTTTTTAAGCAACTAGAATATGTCAATCATTAAGCGAAGGATCAGAGATACTGATAGTTATAGTTGACAAAGATCATCCCCAAAAGTAAATCTTTCTGTACAGACCAAACGAATTGGAGGTCCTTAAACTTTTATGATTTCATGTAATTCATACTCTCACTTGAAACAGTTTTTTTCAAGCATATCACTGATTTTTTTCTTCTCTGGAGACATACACAGGTGTGGGACAGAGCTCCCAAGAAACTCCACAAGCTTCCTGTCACAGAATTTCCAATTAGTATGTCCCACAGGAGAAGGTTACTGAGGGCTGAAGAAGAAGCAGGGGATGTTGGCCTACAAACACCCCAGAACATAGTGATCCTACAGGAGCTGTGCTGACCCTCCTTCCGCTGTTACGTAAGAAGCTCTACAGAGGAAACTTTGTTCTACGTGAACTACTGAAGAATATGAAGAGGAATATGCCACTGAAAAAGGCCACTCCCACCTCTATCCCCAAATATTCATGAAACCCTGATACTATACTGTACTCACACGGTGAGGTATGTCACAGAGCTGGAGCTCTCCATTCCACATTTTGGATTTTTTGTCTTTTCACCTTTTATCTCCCAAAAAGTGGGCAATGTTCTTACTAATTTCAGATAGTACAGATGTTCTTTTAGGAGTCAGTCTGTATGTCATCATAATTAGCATTAGGAAGTGTTTTGTGGTGGGTGGGTGGTTGCGTGTATATATATATATATATATATATATATATATATATCAATTACTTGGGAGGTTACATCTATTTAAATTTAGAACTAATGGACCTTTGTTTTTACTATGGCTTGGTTGTATAGGTTTGATAGCACAGCTAGCTGACAAGTGCAATAAAATGTGATGTTACAGCTAGCACAGATTCAGCATGGGATTCCCACATAGCCATGCATTTTGACAATCTTGTAAAGAAGGATCTTATTGGTGCTGTTGTTCTGTTCCTACACCCACCGCTTCACCAGCTATACCAACAAGAACACATCTCATTAGCTCCACACTTTTGTTTCAATCCAGTTTTATAGCATCTTGTTTTTGTTACCATGAATTATTGACATCAGAAGTGTTGACTCATGAAGCTCAGATTACAGCCAACTTTTATGGTACACAAATTTATATCATCTTCTTTAAAACTTCTTGTAAAGGGAGTGTCTCTGTGTGCACCGTATACCTGGGATCCAAGTGGGAGAGCAACAGCACAGGACTAACCCTGTTGTAAAGCCGGTCAGTTTCAGTTTCTGCTCAGCACAGGCCAGGTGTGGGGCAGACTGTGCATGCTGAGTGAAAGTGACCAGGCTAATATTAGTTTCACGTCAGTGAAGGAGCAACACAGAGGACACCTGAGGGAGGAGGTGAGAGGACAGCCCCAATTTTCAGGAGAGCCAATGGGAGCAACAAGAATGACCAGATAACTAAGAAACTTAGAAATAAAATAAAGAAAACCTTCCCGTAGCTGTCCAGCCGCTTTCACAGGGCTGCTTGGACACCAGTCAAGGCATCTCCTGAGGCAAGTCTCGCTCTGCCCATTGTACAGCCGGTTGAAGGCAAGGCAGCACCAGGAGATCCCCCCCATGCCGTGCCCCCCAACGGCCCCACCCGCCCCCCACTCAGCTGTCAGCCCGCCCCCGCAGACCCCCCCCCAGGGGCCCACAGGCCGCCCCTCACACGTAGGGTGACCAGATAGCAAGTGTGGAAAACTGGGACAGGAGGTGGGGGGGGGGTAATAGGAGTCTATATAAGAAAAAGCCCCAAATATCAGGACTGTCCCTATAAAATCGGGACATCTGGTCACCCTACAGGGCCCCCAGCGCCAGCCGCCCCGCGCACACAAGGGCGGGATAGAGTGCCCCACCCCACCCGGCGCCCCCAGCCCGGCCCAGCGCCCCATCGCTTACGCCATTGTCCGGTGTTTACATCCGCATCCCTCCCCGCTTCTTACTACAGCCCCGGCGGCAGCCGCACACACCGGATGGCTCTGCCCGCACGCCCCGGCCAGCCCTCCCTCTGCGCCGCCCACCAATCGCCGGGCACAACCGGGCCGGTTGGCCAATGACCACACACTGCATCCGACAGGAGGCGGGTGGAAGGATCCCTCCGTAGCCAATGGCAAAACGAGGCCCTGCAGGGGATCCTCCTACACAGGGTTGAAGTCAGGAGGGAGTGGGTTGGTAGGGGCTCGTGCGCGCGCGCGCGCGGACGCCTTCACAGTTCAAAGGGTTTATCTCATGAATAATTAACGTTACCTCATGAATAATCAATATTCCCGCCGAGGCGGTGCCGACCCCTTCCTGTCCCCTCCTCGGCGCCCCGCCCCGGCCTGCGGGGAGTGCAGGCGATTGTTCATTCGTTGCCCTGGGCGGGCGCGGGGGCTCTTCAGGTGCGGTAGCCGTGGCCTTCAGCGTGCAGCACAAGATAGTCAATGAATAGCTCAGGGGCTCCTGGGTTGCACAGATGCCACGCAATGTTTGTTAGTATTTCTCTGCGGTCCATATTTACCGGCCTCTACTCAAAGCTTCTCATTCCAGTCCTTGTGACCAGAGAGGGGCCTGCACCAAACCCCCAGTCCGGGACACACCTAAATTATGCTCATGGTTGAAAGAATCCAGATCTGGGCCATGATCCAGATTTCGCATAGGGCAGCCTGAAACAAAAGCCCAGGTTTAAACATCTCCCAACTTGTTCCGTGTTTTCAATCAAAACCCACACAAAAAAATGTATGGCTTGAAATATTACTGAATTCCAGAGGTAAAACACTGCGGGCAAAATATACATAAAGCAACAATGAAAGGGCGCTACCTTTAACATGGAGACAGCAACATACCAGTGCAGAACACTCTGCACAGCAATGGAGAGAAAAGAAATTTGGAATAGGCCCCAGGACCAGCTCTTAATTCTGTAAGAGGTGCCATAGGATCATTACTGCCCATGCAAAGTAACCAAGGGCTTACAATGCAAGAGGCCTTCCCTCAACAAATGATTGAAAAAAGAAATATGGAAAGCTGTCCTCTGCAGTCCTTTTGAAAAATGCTACATTCTGGTCATATAAACTCAAAATGGCAACTAGGGCAACTTTTGTGTGGGTTTGTGTAGTTACTTTGGTTTTTTGCTAAGGCTATATCTACACTAGCACTTTTGTTGGTATAACATGTTGCTCAAGAGCATGGAAAAACACACCCCTGAGTGACATACGTTACACCAACAGAAGTGCAGGTATGGACAGCGCTATGGCGGCAGGAGCCGACATAGCTACCACCCCTTGTTGGGGGTGGTTTACTTATGTCGACGGGAGAGCTCTCTCCTGTGGGCATAAAGCGGCTACATGGGAGATCTTACAGCGGCGCAACTGCAGCGGTACAGCTGTGCCTCTGTAAGCTCTGTAGACATGGCCTAATTATTTCCACCCTGGAGAACCAGGGCCGGCTCCAGGGTTTTTGCCGCCCCAAACAGCCCAAAAAAAAAAAAAAAAAGCCGTGATCGCAATCTGTGGCACTTTGGCGGCAATTCGGCGGGAGGTCCTTCACTCCGAGCGGGAGTGAAGGACCCTCCGCCGAATTGCCGCAGAATAGCTGGACGTGCCGCCCCCCCTCCGGAGTGGCCGCTCCAAGCACCTGCTTGCTAAGCTGGTGCCTAGAGCCGGCCTTGTAGAGAACTATCAACATCCACTGAAATATCTATTGTGTACAGTCTTTATTTACGGAATAGGATTTTTCTGAGTCCTAACTGACATTGATTATATAAATTTAAAAAATGTTTCTGTTTACATTACTCATCTGAGCCAGAATTTGAAGGACTGGACCCAAAGTAAATCTTTCCTTCAAATGTCCCTAACCAAGAGACAAAATATTAGAATGTCCTAGGGAGAAGGTTCTGAAAGAATACATCAACTGGGGAGATAAAACAGTGAGACAGAACCAGAGGCTAATTAAGAAATGAGAAGGAATCAGAGGCAGTTTGAGAAGCATGGGAAGGAATCAGAGTCTGTTTAAAGAAGTTGAAGAGGATGAAAACAAGAGCAGACTGCTGAAGGAAACTAACTTTTGGAGAGAGGAACAGAAAGAGTTCCTGAAGCAGGGAAAAAAGAAAACATAAATTAGAATAGCAGTTGCAGGAAGAAGTTAGAGAGAGCCAGAGGCGAGATCACAAAAGAAGGGAATAAAGAAAAAGAAGTTGAAATTACAGTTCCATAGGTATCATGCTGCATTGGGCAGCGAGGGTTGTATTTGTTTTTTTGTTTGTTTTTTTTAAGGGAAATTTAGGTATCTGTAATTTGGATATCTTCTCTAGATCCCCATAACAATGATGAAGTTCAGTCAGAGTTGTTTTGGGCTTTAGTGGTGAGACCCAGATAGATTCACTGAAGCTGGAACATGATAAATTATAAATGCAGTTGTTGGATCTAATACAACATTATCATGATCTTCTGTGAGGCATCATATAGTTAGAAAAGCAGTTGATCCTGACATGCACATTCTTCTTTATTGTAATCAAGCACAAACAATACATTCTGGCTTAATTATGTGTGATCCCACAACAAACACTGTTGCCTCATTTGCTCACAGTTTCATGATTTTTTATTTTATACACGCTGAAGTATTTTATTTTCAGTTCTCAGATAACTGTATTCTGCTTGTTCATATTTTGTCTTCTATTTGTTCCATGCAAAGCCAGTGTACAAAACTTTTGGCATGGAATTCAGCAAAGGGAAAATAAAATTTGAAACAAATTTTCCAATATTTGTTTGATCATGACTGGGCATTCAGCATTATAAAACATGATATAATGAGCTTATAGAGTTATTTACAATTGCACAGTGTAGAATTCTGCAAACTAACATTGTATCACATGAAACTGAAAGTATCTAAAATACACTTGTAAAGCAAAATAGATACAAATTATCATATATAATGTATGGGGGAAGGGGCACTGACTATTTATTAACCAAAACTGTTACTGGAATGTTAAGTTTCTAATTTAAACCACAAAAGTTGGAAAATCAGAGTTAAGGCTTAAACAACATCCCAAACTGTCATTGTGTGTGTGCATTATGGGCTCAGTTTTGTAAGATACTAAGCATACTTGTATGGTGCTGACATTCCTTGAGTCCCATGGAAGTCATTAGACATGTAGGAGGTTCAGTATCTTACAGAACTGAACCCCTAACAGGATATAGGGATAAATCCACACCTGGTATAAATTGTCATAACTTCACTGACTTCAATTACAATTTATACCAGCTGATTACATCTTGGAGTTCATTTTTTGTTTCAACAAAGCCCTTTCAGAACAGTCAAAGTCTGCCCTTAGATTCTCTATTTATATGCCCCCCATCACCATAGTATATTAGAACCTCACATAGATAAGGACTAGCATAAAACCTCACATAAAACCTCACATAGATAAGGACTAGCATAAAACCTCACATAGATAAGGACTAGCATAAGAATGGCCATACTGGATCAGATCAAAGGTCCATCTAGCCCAGTATCCTGTCTTCCTACAGTGGCCAATGCCAGGTGCCCCAGAGGGAATGAACAGGACAGGTCATCATCAAGTGATCCATTCCCTGTTGTCCATTCCCAGCTTCTGGCAAACAGAGGCTAGGGACACCATCCATGTCCATCCTGGCTAATAACCATTGATGGACCTATCCTCCATGAACTTATCTAGCTCTTTTTTTTTTTAACTCTTTTATAGTCTTGGCCTTCACAACGTCCTCTGGCAGGGAGTTCCACAGGTTGACTGTGCGTTGTGTGCAAAAATACTTCCTTTTGTTTGTTTTAAACCTGCTGCCTATTAATTTCATTTGGTGACCCCTAGTTTTTGTTATGAGGAGGAATAAATAACACTTCCTTATTTATTTTCTCCATACCAGTAATGATTTTATAGACCTCTATCATATCTCCCCCTTAGTCAACTCTTTTCCAAGCTGAAAAGTCCCAGTCTTATTAATCTCACCTCATATGGCAGCCATTCCATATCCCTAATCATTTTTGTTGCCCTTTTCTGAACCTTTTCCAATTCCAATATATCTTTTTTGAGATGGGGCGACCACATCTGCATACAGTATTCAAGATGTGGGTATACCATGGATTTATATAGAGGCAATATGATATTTTCTGTCTTATTATCCATCCCTTTCTCCCAACATTCTGTTTGCTTTTTTGATTGCCGCTGCACATTGAGTGGATGTTTTCAGAGAACTATCCACAATGACTCCAAGATCTCTTTCTTGAGTGGTAACAGCTAATTTAGACCCATCATTTTATATGTATAGTTGGGATTATGTTTTCCAATGTGAATTACTTTGCATTTATCAACATTGAATTTCATCTGCTATTTTGTTGCCCAGTCACCGAGTTTTGAGAGATCTTTTTGTAGCTCTTCACAGTCTGCCTGGGCCTTAACTATCTTGAGTAATTTTGTATCATCTACAAATTTTGCCACCTCACTGTTTACCCTGATCATTTATGAATATGTTGAATAGGACTGGTCCCAGAACAGACCCCTGGGGACACCACTATTTACCTCTCTCCATTCTGAAAACTATTTATTCTTACCCTTTGTTTCCTATCTTTTAATCAGTTACCAATCCATGAGAGGACCTTCCCTCTTATCCCATGACAGCTTACTTTGCTTAAGAGCCTTTGGTGAGGGACCTTGTCAAAGCCTTTCTGAAAATCTAAATATACTCTATCTACTGGATCCCCCTTGTCCTCATGCTTGTTGACCTCCTCAAAGAATTGTAATAGACTGGTGAGGCATGATTTCCCTTTATAAAAACCATGTTGACTCTTCCCCAATAAATTATGTTCATCTAAGTGTCTGACGATTTTGTTCTTTACTATAGTTTCAACCACTTTACCTGGTACTGAAGTGAGGCTTACTGGCTGTAATTGCCGGGATCACCTCTGGAGCCCTTTTTAAAAATTGGCATCAGCGTCACATTAG